AGTTGACAGTGTATTATAAAAAAACTTAAAAATTGTCCCCAAGTCATGTCAGCACTGTTACCATTAGCTATATTTTCCATTTTGGGATGCTTGAGAGGTCACAGTGCAATTTATTAACAATAAAACACATTATTTGTCTGTTAGGATGTTTGAAACCTTACAAAAATTTACTTTTAAAAAATCACCTCATCGCTCTGGAAATGGCATCAGTTTCAAAATGACCTTTTCAATTAATTATAACTACAGCTTATATAATAGCTTTGTACAGCAGTTATGTTAGATGTTAATGTAAAAGCTGTTTCATATAACTGAGTTATGGAGTTGTTGAAGTGATTTCTTCACATTAATTTCTGACTCTGGTCCACAGTTATATTCAGTATGTTGGAGCAGGCAGATGAATATTTGTTTGAAAAACAGCTTGCCTCTAATTTATGTGTGTGTGTGTGTGTGTGTGTGTGTGTGTACTCGTCTAATGAAGAGAGCGTAAAGACATAAAGCGGAGGGAGAGTGAATCTTTCTGACAGTTAAAGACAGCTGCAAGGGATTTCTCAAAGAACTGTGTGTGATTCTGAGAGAGTGAATGTGTCTGCATGTGTGAAAATCACTATGTGTAGCTGTGTCCTAAATCACGTCTCATTCCCTATATAGTGCACTATATTTGCAATACCAACACTATTTTGTAGTGTTGTTTGAGTTTTTAGAGAATGTTTTTTCCTGTATAATTCACTTTTTTATTCAGCATAAAGTTTGGTATAACACTGCTGTTTAAAAGTTGTAATGTTTTTGAAAGAAATCTCTTATGCATTTATTTGATCAAAAATATAGTCAAAACAATAGAGTAGCACCTTTGCAATTTTTCTTGGCCGATTCCGATTTCCAATTTTTTTTTGTAAGTGTGACCTGCTGATTCCGATTTTTGCTGATTCCGATTTTCTTTCTAAGAACTATGATTGACAGCAAATACAAAAAAAATCCTTTTTTTTTGTCAATGTAAAGACTAAGTTACAGATGTTATTTCACTTAAACAACTCTCAAAATGAAGTGCTCTGTGACTGGAAAGAGGTAGAAATAACAATTAACTGAAAATGAGTTGCTGTATGTAACAAAACAGATGCCATTTCCCACTTATAAATGGTCATTTTTTACCCTAACTTTATAAAATGCATCATCTTTCACATAAAATTCTTACATTGTTTCAATTAATTCAGTTAGAATAATAAGAAACTGTAGAGTTGTTACCATTCAAATGAAGTCAGAATCTACAAACTCCAACAACATATTATATGTTGATACCTATGCAACATGTGTTATAAGAATCTTTAATAGTTTTGCACCAGTACACAATCCTGTTACATATGTAAAATACCATGCTCGAAGACAAAGAGTCGTAAACGTTCCCTCCGAAAATTTGTTACCATTGGCTCAATGACCCCCTGGAGGTGTGACCTCCACAAAAGTTAAAAGGTGACCTCCCTCTCTCATCATCATCTTCTGCTGCTTTTCTGCTTCAACTTCTGGTTGCTGCTTGTGTGGGACTCACCAAGTCCCGGAGCTGGCGCAGCCACGCCTGGCAGGCCTCAACTACAGTCATGTCTTCACTTTCCACCTGGGAGAAAACTCGCCCGACTACCACGGAGTCAGAATAACATCTTGAACAAAACAAAACAGAAGTTTAGTATAGGCTGAAGACCCCATTGTAAAATAGCGTTGATGGTTTCAGTCAGGTGGTTAACGGAAAGTTGCCCTTCCCCCCATGTATGTGTGATTGTATGTTTGTTTGTTTAGACTAGTGTTAGTGGTTAGTTAATAAAACTTTTGTGCACAAATTAGACAAGTTTTTCTGATTCTGTCACTGCTTGTGGATAATGTCCATTTAACGATTCCTGAACTTGTTACATGCTCTAATACACTAGTACTGTAAGAAAGTTATTTTCTATGGCCACGAAATATAATTTCTTAGAGTTGATATGAAATTACTCTGAATGTTCGCTGGACAAACTGATTAGTTGATGGTAATATTAATTCTGCTAGTTACTACTGGCAGCTGATATAGCCTAAATAATTGTAATTAATTATAATTAATTGTAATTATTTATATACATTTCCCTTTTGAGCTAATTTGCTACATCTGTTAATACCAGAAATGGATGCCTTGCCCCCTCCAGCCAGTGACGTCATTCTTCAAACGCCGCTTTCATGGCAAGGAGCTCTCGATTGCCCACATCATAGTTCTGTTCAGCGGATGAGAGTTTGCGAGAGAAGTAGGCACATGGAAAAAGCTTAGGAGGATTACCTTGACGTTGGGAGAGGATGGTGCCAATGCCGGTGTTAGATGCATCTACTTCTACCACAAAAGGTATGTTAGGGTCAGGATGATGCAGAATGGGTGTCGAGGTGAAGCAGTTCTTCAATTCGTTGAAAGCTTGAACAGCATCAGTGGACCAGCGAAGGTTAGTATTCCCTCCCTTTACCATTGAGATGAGTGGAGCGGCGAAAGAGCTAAAGTTCCTGCTTAGTCTTCTATAAAAGTTAGCAAATCCCAAGAAACGTTGTAGTTCCTTCACTGTGGTAGGTTGAGGCCACTTGAGAACCGCTCGTACTTTGCTCTCGCCTATAGACACCCCTTCAGCACTGATGATGTAACCAAGAATGGAGATTGAAGTTTGATGGAATTCACATTTTTCTGCTTTAGCATACAGTTGGTGTTCAATGAGACACTTTAAAACCGCCTGGACCTGCTTGTCGTGCTTCTCTAAAGTGTTAGAGTAGATCAAGATGTCATCTATGTATATGATTAGGCACTGGTTCAACGTGTCTCTGAATATGTTGTTTATGAAGGACTGGAACATGCACGGACGGAATATTGGACAGCCTGAACCGCATAACAATGTACTCGTAGTGCCCACTGCTGGTGGAAAAAGCAGTTTTCTATTCATCCCCTTCTCGGATGCGGATAAGGTTGTAAACGGAGTTAAGATTGGTGAAAACTTGGTGAAAACTTTGGCGGTTCTGAACTGCTCCAATGCTGCTGAAACCAGGGGCAATGGATATCGGAATTTGACCGTTATTTCATTTAAGCCTCGATAATCGATATAAGGACGAAGGCCACCATCCTTCTTACCCATGAAGAAGAATCCTGCTGCTCCCAGTGAAGTGGATGGATGAATGAAACCCTTGGCTAGCTCTTCTTCAATGTGTGTTTTCAATGCTTCAGCCTCAGGTTCTGACAAGGGAAAGATTCTTCCTCTAGGCGGCATGGTGCCAGGTAGAAGTTCTATGGCACAGTCACTGGGTCCTTGCGGGGGTAGTTTTGAAGCTTTGGTTTTACTAAAGGCTTCAAGCAGATCGCCATACTCTGGAGGTATATGTGGGGCTGAGTTGGTTTTGTTGATAACAATAGCAGTGCTCACAGGTATTGGGGTGATGGACTTCAAGCATTTAGACAAGCAGTTGGGATCCCATTGCATGATCTGTTCCTCACGCCAAGAGATTTGTGGATTATGATCCTGTAGCCAGGGTGAGCCAAGGATGACCGGGTTGTGTGGAGAATGAATGACGAATAACCAAATTATTTCAGTGTGTAAGGCTCCGACTTGCAGAATGAGTTCAGTAGTGGTGTACAGTACATGTCCGGTCCCTAGGGTTTTGTCTGGCCAGAGGGGCTTGAGCCTGTTTTTTAAAAGAAAGGAATAGTTCGCCCAAAAATGAAAATTTGTTGAAAATGTACTAACCTTTAAGCCATCCAAGATCTAGATTAGTTTATTATTCCAGAGGAACAGATTTGGAGAAATTTAGCATTACGTCACTTGCTCACCAATGGATCCTCTGCAGTGAATGGGTGCCGTCAGAATGAGAGTCCAAACAGCTGATAAAAACATCACAATAATCCACAAGTAATCCACATGACTCCAGTCCATCAGTTAACATCTTGCACCCATTCACTGCAGAGGATCCATTGGTGAGCAAGTGATGTAATGCTAAATTTCTCCAAATCTGTTCTGATGAGGAAACAAACTCGTCTTGGATGGCCTGAGGGTGAGTACATTTTCAGCAAATTATCAATTTTGGGTGAACTATTCCTTTAATAGTGTTGTGTGACTTCCTTTCTTAGCAGCAGTTGAAGGACAATGGACAATGAGTGACCTCGTACTGATGTACAGGTCAGCTGTTTCCTGCTCTGAGAGAAACTCTGTGTAAAGGTTTAGAGGGTAACAGGTTTATGGGTGATTGTGTGTGTGCTTGCAGGTTTTTGTCTTCATTCCAAAGTGCTTTGCATTATTGAAACTAATCTTTATTAATCTCAACTACTTGGTCATGTACTTGGCCTATTGGCAATAGAGAGCCTTTTTTCTTTTTCTTTTTCTCTCTCTTTTACACATAAACACTTGGTATGTTTAAACGTGTTAAGTAAGGACAGGTTATGTAATACTAGTTTAGTACTTTACTTGTACACATTAAATGCACACACAGTATATATAATCATCACTCACACTCAAAGAAAAACACACACATATATACATAGTTATACTTGCATACATACGTACATATTTATATACTTGGACCCACACACACATTGTGCCTTTTGAATCTGTTAAGTATTAACCTAATAATTACCAGATTTTTGTATGAAAGAAGAGTAGCTGTTTCAGAGTTCCTTTGTGAAACCCTCTTTGTCTGATTTAGTTTTTAAACTTATAAAGAGCATTAGATGTGTGAACACACATAAATAATATAAAAAGGAAATATCATAACAGATTAAAACATGAAGAGTTAAGCTTTGAAGCCTCCCTAAACAAATAGAAAGCATCTGTTTGGTTAGCATTTAGACACAAATCATACTGTAAAACTATAGCTTTAGAAGGGGACATTGGTCAGTAAAATAATTTGACTACTACATTCAAACTGCTTCAGTCACAATAGCACTCTCTTACCTCTTCATTAAAACATTTTCAGTTCTTTTTCTTACTAATGATGTTTTTGCTTTTCTGTTTGCTTGACAGGCAGTGACCGGAAGAAGTTTCGGTGATAAGGATTTCAGAAGCGGCCTGGAGAACGGCATTCTGCTCTGCGAGTGAGTTTTACACACACACACACATACACATACACACGCACACACACACATTCTGTAAATGCAAATGAAAAATGTTTAGTGGAAGTTAGGTTTTCTGTGGCAAAGTGCTTAAAAACATGAATGGATTAAATGTTGATTAAATGCAGGTGCAATTAATTCACCAGTATAGAAGTATGAATACAAATTTGTATAAGCATCATTTACATCTAGGAAATTTTTATGTTAAAGAGGACAAATAAAATCCTAATTCTGATCACTACACTACCGTTCAAAAGTTTGCGGTTTAAAAAAGTTTCTTCTTAAGTCTTCTATCCTCACCAAGGATGCATTTATTTTTACAATTTATTCCTGTACAATTTTTATTTATTACAATTTATTCCTGTGATGCAAAGCTGAATTTCCAGCATCATTACTCCAGTCTTCAGTGTCACACGATCCTTCAGAAATCATTCTAATATACTGATTTGCTACTCAAGAAACATTTATGATTACTATCTATGTTGAAAACCATGATACATTTTTTCAGGATTCTTTGAAAAACAGAAAGTTCAAAAGAACAGCATCAGTGTGATTTTTTTTTTGTAAGAATGTAAGAGTCTGTACCATCAATAAATTGAGTTGAATTTAATGCAATTCATGTAAGTATTAATTTCTTTAAAAAATATCTTGCTGACCCCAAATTTGTGAAAAGTAGTGATTTTGTTTTTTAAACAAATTTTTTTTTAATTTTGTGGTCCAAACTGTAATGAATGAAAAAAGAAAGGAAAAAAAACCCCTGAAAATAAATCACAAAAATGAGAAGATGTTATGAGTCAACCAACATATTATGGTTCCAACATATTATGCAATTTCTCTCTCTTTCTCTCATCATGTGACTTATTAGGTTGCTGAGTTCAATCAAACCAGGCCTTGTGAAAAAGATCAACAGACTTCCAGCACCCATTGCAGGACTGGTGAGTGTGGTTAGTGTGTGTTTGTTCGCATGTGTTTGTGTTGTTCTGTGCCTGTTTGTGTCAGGCCAGTCTCAGAACAAATCCAGTACTGTCCCAATTTGTGTGTGTATCTGTGTGTGTGGTAGCTATTTTATGTTTGTGCAGCCCATAATGAGAGAATTAAGTGAAGCTTATCAGTGCTTTAAAGTTATAGCTCAAAAGCAATGTTTTGAGAACTTTAATTAGATACAAAAATCCTGGTTATACCATGGTACTTTATTGTAAGTTTCATGCTAGATTTTCCAAAAGTAAAGGAAAACGGCCTCAAACACTTGTTTTGATAACATGCAGCTCATCACACATTGCCTGTAATTGTCACATACAGCAGGTGCATAATATGTGTCTTTCCTCTCATCAGGATAATCTGACCATGTTTCTGAGAGGATGCGAAGAGCTGGGATTGAAGGGATCACAGCTGTTCGATCCCGGAGACCTGCAGGACACGTCGATACGAGCGAACTTAACGTATGTGTGTGTTTGTGTATGCGTGAACAGAGACAGAAGAAGGAGGAGGAGGAGACTGATTATGTGCAGAAAAATGAATGGGATGAATCAGAAGTTATTTTGGTGGCTCTAAAAGATCTTGCCTTTCAGTTCTTCACAGCAGCTCATCTTCTTCTTCTGAAAGCGTAGATTTACACTAGATAACCAATCTGAAAAAAATCCATATTGGTTAATCCATATTCAAGTTGATACAAGATGTTTACACTTTAAGATGTAACATTCAGAAAGGGTTTATTAATTGAGCAAAAGTGAGTTTTACATTGACAAAGACTTATATTGTTACAAAAAGTATGTTTCAGATAAATGCTGTGCTTTTAAACTTTCTATTTATCAAAGCACCCTGAAAAAATATTACAGTTTCCACAAAAATACTAAGCAGCACAACTGTTTTCTACATTGACAATAATCAGAAATGTTTCTTGAGCACCAAATCAGCATATTAGAATGTTTTCTGAAGGATCATGTGACACTGAAGACTGGAGTAGTGAAGCTGAAAATTCAGCTTTGCATCGCAGGAATAAATTTCATTTTAAAATATATTAAAATAGAAAAGCGTTATTTTAAATTGTAATAATATTTCACAATATCTCTGTTTTTGCTGGATTTTTTAACAAATAAATGCAGCCTGGGCGAGCATAAGAGACAAATCTTACCGACCCCAAACTTTTGAATGATAGTGTATCTCTGTTGATTAGATGGAAAACAGCTGTTTTCTCTCTCTTTCTTTTTCTTTGTAGGGGCTCTGACTGCAGTAGAAAGCTGAAGAATGTAAGTACACTGAACTGTTTTTTAAACTTTACGTGTCAATTAGTGTTTGACTTACATTTTTATTCTCTCCTGTGTTTTTTGAATGATTAGGTGCTCATAACCATATACTGGCTTGGTAAAGCTGCTAACAGCTGTGCAACGTATAACGGCCCCACACTCGACCTGAAAGAGTTTGAGGGGCTTCTTTCCATGATGCGAAAGGTAAATCAATTCTTGCCAAGAACACTGAACATATGAAACAGCCTGATAAATTATATAATTCATAAGCTTTTATGTTTTGAATTCTTTTTTTATATATATTTGGTGTTTGTGTGCAGGAGTGTGTAAATGAAGAGTTGGACTCCCCTAAGCGCAGTATAAGAGACAGCGGTTACATCGACAGCTGGGAATCGGAGCGCTCTGATTCGCTGTCTCCTCCGAGGCATGGCCGTGAAGATTCGTTCGACAGTCTCGACTCATTTGGCTCACGATCACAGAACACACCCTCGCCAGACACAGTTATTCGCTGCAACAGTGATGGTATGAACTTCTCTTCTATTGATTTTTTTGTCATCATGCTATTTAAGTCGGTAGTCATGAAATATTGTCTATAATTGTGCAATAATACATCACATTATTACTGTTTTACTGTATTTTTGGTCAAATAAATGCAGCCCTGGTGAGCATAAGAGACTTGTTTGAAAAACATCAAAAACTTATGAATGGCAGTGTGTATATATATTTTATTTTTACTGTATGTGACATTGAATTGTCAATGCACTGAAAATATATATTTTTTTCATGATCCCTATATCTTATGCACACACACACACACTTACGTCAGACTCTCCATGTCTGTCCTGACAGCAAACATTCATGAAAGAGCAGCTTCGGGTAAAAATACATCATGAACAGCACACAATCATGGACTCAAAGAGAGGAGTAATACATTCCCACATACAGTATGTGCTGTGTGTGTGTGTGTGTGTGTGTGTGTGTGTGTGTGTGAGAGAGAGTGCAGCTGTTGGACTGGACAGACATTCACACACACATCTGTGTGCTGAGTGTGTGAGAGGCTCTGTATGAGCTGCATCTGATTACTGAGTCCAGACATGGACAGACTAAAAACAAGGACAGAAAAAAACATAAAAGCTCAAGAAGCTTCTAAACCATAAATTATATTTATGTGTATGTGTGAGAGAGAGAGAGAGATTTTCAGTTCAATGATAAGCCAGCAATCTTATTTTGATTGTTTGATTTTTGTTATTTTAAAACAGGAGTCAGCAACCTTTTGACAACAAGTGCATTTTTAATTGTTCTTGTTAATTACTGTGTCACACAAAGTTTTTATTTAAGCCAACAAGTTTAATTATGATTACGGTGAAAATAAGATAAGATACATTAATGGACATTTTTAAAAAGGTTTCTCCTGAAATAATTTTAGAATCTTTGTCACATAGTAAGTTGAAAGACTCTATATAATTGTTATTGCTATTTTAGTTTATATTAAAATTTTTTGTATGTTGACTTTTTAAGACAAAATTGTTAAATTATTGTAAACATTATGTTTGAATGATGCAATTGAATTGTTTTTGCCATGAACATAGCCATTGCTGCTGACATGGCGTTAAATAAATAAATAAAATAAAACCACTTGTCTAAAATAAAATAATTCAATTAAAATGATCTAATATTGCAGTGATTTACGTGAAAATTTTGGAATGATAAGCTGACTCTAGCTGATTAAAGCAATGCAAGCAATTCAAATGAAAGACATACAAACTATCTACTAAAGAAAAAAATCTGTTGCAACTCGCATCCTTTAACTTAGTACCATAGTATGTTTTTGTAAACAAAATGTATACAATTAAAATAAAAATGAAATATTTATAGCTGACAATTTTTTTCTGCTGTGGATACTTTTGTCCCACTTCACTTATTTCAAGTATTTGAATTCCTTTTATCTCATAGCTAAATAAGACTGTGTGACGATGTGGAAGTACTATAGCAAGAAGCTTTTGGCATGTCGATGTGAGCAAAAACTTCGTAAATTAAATGCATGCACTATTCTGTTGCTAATCCTGATGTAATATGTTTAGACAAGCTTAAATATATTTACACTCCGGTACATGTACTAAGCTTTCATTCATGCCGGCCCTGATTTGGATGGTGGTCAGATGGCGGCATCAAACCCAACACGACAGCTTACAGTATGTGTGTATGTAGGATGTTAGACCAGTTTATGTGTTTATGTAGTATGTTAGACTAGTTTAAGTGTTTATGTAGTTAATAAAACCTTACTTGTATCACACTTGACGTGTTCATTGTTTGCTCATAACCAGAGTCACTAATCATGCAGATTTACGTTACAAGCTTTGTAGAATTGTACAGTAAGAAAGTTATTTCCCTTAACCAGGAAATTAACGTTCTTAGAATTGACAAGACAGTTGACCCTGAGAGGTCAGCTAAATATCTACAGCGGATCTAAAATATGAATAGTTAATTATAACTAGTTATGGTTAATTATTCATATTTCCTGTCATGAGCTGATTCGTTACACAATGGATGAAATATGAACACTGCTTCTGTCTGTAAACACCTACAAATATGAAATACCAAATGCCAATACATTTAGACAAGAGTAAATAACGATAAGTAAAATTGATAAAAACAAAGCATGTTTCTTTCTCTCAATATGTCCTTCTGACAGACTCTGAAGGTGACGCTGGTCAAAGGAAGTTGCCAGACGTGCGCAAGGATGACATGTCTGCCCGTCGCGTGTCCTACAAAGAGCCTCGCGTAGCTCTACCCTTTAATCAGTATCTGCCAAACAAAAGCAACCAAACCAACTACATTCCTGCCCCCCTGAGGAAGAGGAGGAGCGAGCGAGAGGAAGACTGGAGGAGTCTGAGCAACTCAACATCTCCTGTAGGAGGAGAAAGACCTCTCAGGTAATCACAGCCGCTGATGATAAACAGTAAGTGTTTGGTTTGTTTGATTTCTCAGGAGGTTGCTGGAAATCCCTCTTCTGGCTTCAATGTGGCTGAGACACATCATACATCGAAACAAAAATCAGTACACACAAGCATCATCTGTTTTCATCTGTCCGAGTTTGTTTGATTCGTTCTGTATTATCTGCGTGTTGGTGAGCGCTGTGACATTCCCATTGCTCCCCACAGACAAGAGCGTGTAGAAGTATTAAAAGAGGGGGCTGTCGCGTCTCGCAGCCTTGCGCTCCAGAAACATTTCACCTGGGCGGATGAGAAAGGGGCAGAGCTTGAGGAGGCAGAGCTTAATAAAATGAGGAAGCTGGAAAAGGCGGGAATTAAAGTATTACCTACCTCTGTGCGATATAACAGGTCAGCGGTTGAATGCATGTGTATGGAGCGACTAAAAATGCTAACTAGTTGTGTGTAGGGCCTAGTAGTTAAACACAAAGCTTGTGTGTTCAAAACCATGAGTTGTCATCTAACCCTAGGTTGCTTTGTCGGGAGTGACCCTGTGTACTTTTGCTTTGGATTTGTGCTGCTGAGAAATGTTTAATCTACGTTATGGCATGGAGTGACACAGTTGTGAATTAGCTTTAGCCTTTGTAGCTTAGCTAATGTTTTGATTAATTGGATGTAACTCTGACTACTCTGAATCTGTGCTAGGTTGAAATGAGGAGTGTGTGTTTTGTATTGGGTTGAGCATATTATGCTAGTTATGCTAATTTGACTTATTCTGAAAACCTCCCTGTTGAAAAAACCAGCACATGCTGGTTAGGTATGTTTTGAAGCTGGGATGCTGGTTTGAGCTGGTCCTTTGCTGGTTTGAGCTGGTCCTTTGCTGGTTTATGCTGGTCCTTTGCTGGTCGGACCAGTTTAGGACCAGCACATGACCAGCATAAAACAGCAAAGGACCAGCTTAAACCAGCTCAAACCAGCATCCCAGCTTCAAAACATACCTAACCAGCATATGCTGGTTTTTTCAACAGGGCTGATGTCTGCATCACCTCCTGATATGGAAGGACTAACATCTCTCTATTATAGAGTGCAACAGTTGGGTTAGTAAAGTAAAAATCCCATCTGTTTTCTCCACAGGGGAGTTGATTTTGAACAAAAACTTTTAAAGAAAGACCTACTTAAGGTTTTGTTGAAGCCATCAGTCTACATTATTTCAACTTGTTTTTAAATAGTCAAAATGCTCAAAAGGGGAATTCCTGGTGAAAATCTGAAAAAACTACCCATGATTCTGCAGAGAAATCTTCACCAATCAGAGAACCATGACAAGAAACATGCGTTTAAAAAACTCTTTAGCACCCAGCCACTGTCATGAAGCTAATAATGTGGAGTCAGTTTGCCTGCGCTCTCAAACAACTTAAATATTTGTATGCATGAAATTAATATTTTTCAATAAACCTAATACATACCCCTTGCAGAATATGCAAAATGTTAATCATTTTGACAAAATAAGAGGTATCATGAAAATTGCATGTTGTTCTTTATTTAGTACTGTCCCAAATAAGCTATTTCACATATACTCCACAAGACAAAATAATAACTAATAACTTATAAAAATGATCACGTTCAAAAGTTGTACAAAATTGAATCTTAATACTGTGTGTCGTTTGCTGGATGATCCACGACTGTTTTTGAGGGACTCATACACAACTATTACAAAAGGTGAAAACATTTACTGATTCTTAAGAAGGCAATACAATGCAAATGGTGTACATTTTTTTAATTGGATGATCAGAGTAATCGTACTTAGTCTTCTGGGAAGCATGAAAGTATTTATGTAACTTCTGAAGTGCTAAATGAAAAAAATATGATCTTTAATCAAAATAAGAAAAATGTACACAGCATCATCCTGTTCAAAAGTTGACACCCCCCCGGCTCTTAATGCATTGTGTTTCCTTCTTGAGCATCAGTAAATGTTTTCACCTTTTATAATAGTTATGTATGAGTCCCTCAGTTGTCCTCAGTGTGAAAAGATGGATCTCAAAATCATACAGTCACTGTTGGAAAGGGTTCAAATATGCAAAAGATGCTGGAAAACCAAAGAATGTGTAGGAGCTGGAGGATTTTTCTGAAGAACAGCAGGCAGTTTAACTTTTCAGGACAGACAAGGGACTCATGAACAACTATCACAAAACATAAAAACAGTCGTGGATCATCCAGGAAACAACACACAGTATTAAGATTCAAAGGTATGTAAACTTTTGAACGGGGTCATTTTTATAAATTCAGTTATTATTTTTTCTTGTGGAGTATATATAAACATCTGTTATGTGAAATAGCTTATTCAGGACAGTATTAACTAACATGCAATTTTATGATCCCTCTTATTTTGTTAAAATTATTAACATATTTGCATATTCTGCAATGGTATGTAAACTTATGAGCACAATTTTATATATATATATATATATATATATACAGTATATATAATCAATATCTTTAAATCAATGAATGGGAAAAATACTTGCGGAACTAAGCGCTGTTGCACTCTATTTTTTTTAAAAATATATTCAAATTTTGTCATGGCAAATTTTCTCCTCAGTCCAATTGTAAATCCTGTGGAGGCCAGTAAATCCAACCCACCTTCATCTGACATCATTCTCCGACATGACAATGAGTTCATGCGGGCCGCCGCTCCACATCAGTGGGACTCCAATGAGGAAGATGATGATGAAGAGGCAGAACGGAAGGTTCCAGATGTCCAAAAGGATGACCTTGCTTCTCGCAGAGCACGCATGAATCAATTTAAACCCAGTGTGGCACATCACTTCCTGCCAGGCTCTTGTAGCTGGAAGGACCGAGAGAAATGGGAGGGAATCAGGCTGGCATCCCAGCATGCCGTATTGGAAAGGATGGAGAAGATGGCACAGGAGAAAAGAAGGTGTGCTTGTGACAGAGAGTGATGGCGTCTCATGCTCAGGGACTAGTTATGCTGGCTTTACAAATCTAACTTGATGTTATTGGGCAAATTTGGGTCAGAGTTTTCTTATAGGCCACATTTACACTGCAAGTGACCCAATTCCGATTTTGATCCTCCCATGTGGCACAGATCGAATATGGCCAACGAATGTGTAAGAAGGAAAAAAGCACATGGATTCCGATATTCTCAGATCAGTTTCAGGCCTCATTCCTATGTGGAAATAAATCTGATATAAATCGGATATGTGTATTTGCGCCTGCCGTGGATGTCAAAAATTTTGGATGACAATTGTTGGATGTCAAATGTTTTTGAAACATCCCTAGTTGACTAGCAGAGTATTACTTTTGTTCGTTTGTGTTAAATAAGAGGCGATCTGGCGCTGAAATATGTTGCTTTTAAAATCATGCTAAGTGTTCGTTGCCGCTGTTATCAGTGACGGCGACTCGTGCACAGACGAGTGCTTCAATCTATTGCTAACTGTTTAAGATTCCTACTTAAACTTGACTGACTTGACACATTACTTCAGCCTGTTCTTTCTTAGTATGCTTTGTTTTTTCTAAATGATCTGGCTTTTGATTTTTTGGTTCCCCTTTCCTCTGCTTTAAGCCCAACCAGAACACCACAGCAACTGCTTAGCGACCACTTAGAACAATTACTGCTTAACTACCATAATTCTGTCATAACAACTTTCGGAAGTTTAGCATGGTAATATACATGGCAATGTTATTGGAATTTGGTTGAATAGATCTGCTACGCTGCTGCTGTGGCAGAGCAAATACATAGACTTGCTACAGCCAAGACATCCACAGATAGGCTGCTGTGAGCGTGTAAGAAATGCTGCTGCTGCACATATAACATACATGAAATTACCCCGTAGCAGATCTATACAGGTGGAGCTGGGGAAGGTGGAGGATTTCGGAAGCGTGCTGCAACTGCTACAGCAAGCACTAGCCAAGAATTTGAACACTGAGCAGCAAGCTCATTGGCTGCTGATGCGAAAAGAAACCAATTAGCTGCGCCATCTAGAGTTTCATGACAGAACTTTGTATTACAATGCATTGTCGGAAATATTAACTAGCTAGTGACGACTGTTTTCTGATACCATTGTAACTTTATTGTATTGTCATTTGAACCACATTGGTTAAAAAATAACTGCCGTTGATGGTTCTGCTAGAGAACATATGCACATGCATGCTTCAAAAAATGGTGCTTTCATTATCATGGCGAGCTAAATTGAGACCGCAAGTCCACCTGTGATACTAAAAAGAAGCTATTCTAAACACAGGACGAGAGTTGTAGTTTCGACCATACAACTTTACGATGTTTGCGAATGTTTGTTGGAACTTTGGTTTCGGGAAACAGAATCGTCGAGCTGTGTTGCTAACAATGAATTGCATCCATAGTTCTATGGTCAATATTGGTATTGTTGATGTTTTATGTGGGATTTATGGGTCCGCTTTTTTGTATTTCTTATAATGTTACATTTCTACCACAGTCAGGCTGACTCCGCCTCCCCTGAGGTGCCAATCATAACTCGTAAGGACAACCCTTTCCTGAATCCTGAAAAAGACTGGGGAAAAGAGAGGGATGAGGAAGATGAGAAAGAGGTAGAGGGGAAGATAGTTGTCCCAAACCCACACAAAGATGATCTAGCAAGGAGGCGGATTAGGGGAGGGCCACGCCCTCCCAAAGATGCTCATCAGTCATTGGTCCAGACTTCCATCACTCAGTCAGACCTGGAGACATGGCAGAGACTCAAGATGAATACAGATAGCAGGTGCCTCGAAACAAACACACACTTCTCTCACACTCCTGCTCTGTATACACACAATTGAGCACAGCATCAAAAATTAACATTAATTGAGCACAGAATAATTTGACTGTGTTATTGGTCATTTGGCTGGTAACTTTATTAACATAATTCATGGTTTGAATTTTACACAAAGACTGTGATCCTGGAAGGGACTAAAAATTTGGAAGAAAACAATAACTAAATAATCCAATTGTTATAGGGACAAATAAATAAATAATACGTTTTTTTTTTTAAATGCTAAATACAGTTTTTAGGTTGGTAAAAATATTTCTAATATGATTTAAAAATTAATATTTGAATTTAATTAAAATATCAATATTTTAATATATACATTTAAATAATTATACAAAATATTTAAATTCACTTGCAAATTGCATGTGTGGCAAAACGTTAATGTCATTCCTCCTGCTATGCTCAGTGTATCCTTCGTACTGATCTACAGTGAGTCTGACTCCACCGGGGCTGAAGTGTCAATCATAACTCGCAAGGACAACCCCTTCCTGACCCCTGAGAGAGACAGTGAGAGTAAGCAGGAGAATGAGGAGGGAACAGACAGAGAGAAAGGGATGAGTGTGGTGATGCCTGATGTAAAGACAGATGACCTGGCCAGAAGGTGGGGCCAAAATGGGCCTGTGCCACAGAGGGACCCCCGTCAGTCATTGGCTCAAACTACCATCACTCTGTCAGACCTGGAGAAATGGCAGAGGCTCAAGATGAATACAGAGAGCAGGTGCCTGACATGTGACCTTTACCTTTGACCCTAACCTAACATGCTTCAAGATTTTTAGAAGTTTCACACTGAGCTTATCTAATCAAATTTTATGTTTTGTGTTTTTTAACACATAAAACAGATGACACACCAGTTTCTGAAATTAAGCTATTTGTCCAAGAAAATAACCTTTTTCTGGTTTGTGTCCTAACCAGACATGATGTAATAAAGCAACAGGCAATATATTTTTTTCCATGTTAATTCTATCCATGAGTATGCTATATGATAGAGCAGGGGTTATAAAATGTTTTATTAATTTTTTATAATGTTATTTTATTTTTAATCTTGCTTTGCAGAATATTTTCCCACTATGTTGTCAACCTTAGAAAATGCTATTCAAAATACACTGTAGTTCACGTGTTTGGGATCAGTAAGATTTTTTATTTTATTCCACAAGAATGTATTAAATTGATCAATTGTGACATTAAAGACATTTATAATGTTACAACAGAGTTCTATTTCAACATTAATAATAATTGTAAATGTTTCTTGAGTACTAAATCAATATATGAGAATGATTTCTGAAGGATCGTGTGACACTGAAGAATGGGATAATGCAGAAAATTCAGCTTTGCATCACAGGAATAAATTACATTTTAAAATATATTAAAATAGAAAACAGTTATTTTATTTATTTAAATTGTACTAAAATATGTCACAGTATTACAGTTACAGTAAATGCAGCCTCGGTGAGAATAAGACATTTGTTTCAAAAACATTTAAAATATCTTACCGATCCCAAACTTTTAAACAGTAGTGTAAGTTCTAGAAGTTCAATATTGTGACATAGATATAAAAAAGACGCTCAGTTAATTTATATACATATATACATGCATACTTATATGGCTGCTTGTGTGTGTATATATATAT